AAAGTGATCAAGACAAAGGAGATGATTGAGGACTACAGGAAAAAGAAGAGGACCGAGCACGCCCCCATTCTCATCGACGGGGCTGTAGTGGAGCAGGTTGAGAGTTTCAAGTTCCTTGGTGTCCACATCACCAACAAACTAACATGGTCCAAGCACACCAAGACAGCCGTGAAGAGCACACAACAAAACCTATTCCCCCTAAGGAGACTGAAAAGATTTGTCATGGGTCCTCAGATCCTCAAAAGGTTCTACAGCTGCACCATCGAGAGTATCCTGACTGGTTGCATCACTGCCTGGTATGGCAACTGCTCGGCCTCCGACCACAAGGCACTACAGAGTTTAGTGCATACGACCCAGTACATCACTGGGGCCAAGCTTCCTGCCATCCAGGACTTCTATACCAGGCGGTGTCAGAGGAAGGCCCTAAAAATTGTCAAAGACTCCAGGGTGATGAGAGGTGTTGGGTTTGTATCAGACATAGCGTTTTCCTTGATGGCCAAAAAGCTCAATTTTAGTCTCATCTGACCAGAGTACCTTCTTCCATATGTTTGGGGAGTCTCCCACAAGCCTTTTGGCGAACACCAAACGTGTTTCCTTATTTTTTTCTTTAAGCAATGGCTTTTTTCTGGCCACTCTTCCATAAAGCCCAGCTCTGTGGAGTGTACGGCTTAAAGTGGACATATGGACAGATACTCCAATCTCCGCTGTGGAGCTTTGCAGCTCCTTTAGGGTTATCTTTGGTCTCTTTGTTGCCTCTCTGATTAATGCCCTCCTTGCCTGGTCCGTGAGTTTTGGTGGGCGGCCCTCTCTTGGCAGGTTTGTTGTGGTGCCATATTCTTTCCATTTTTTAATAATGGATATAATGGTGCTCCGTGGGATGTTCAACGTTTCAGATATTTTTTTATAACCCAACCCTGATCTGTACTTCTCCACAACTTTGTCCCTGACCTGTTTGGAGAGCTCCTTGGTCTTCATGGTGCCGCTTGCTTGGTGGTGCCCCTTGCTTAGTGGTGTTGCAGACTCTGGGGCCTTTCAGAACAGGTGTATATATACTGAGATCATGTGACACTTAGATTGCACACAGGTGGACTTTATTTAACTAATTATGTGACTTCTGAAGGTAATTGGTTGCACCAGATCTTATTCAGGTGCTTCATCGCAAAGGGGGTGAATACATATGCACGCACCACATTTCTGTTATTAATTTTTTATAATTTCACTTCACCAATTTGGACTATTTTGTGTATGTCCATTACATGAAATCCAAATAAAAATCAATTTAAATTACAGGTTGTAATGCAACAAAATATGAAAAACGCCAAGGCGAATGAATACTTTTGCAAGGCACTGTAAACAGCTTCTACCCCCAAGCCATACGACTCCTGAACATGTAATCAAATGGCTACCCAGACTATTTGCATCGTTTTTCCATCACGAAAAAAGTATAAAACAATTACAAATATAAGTATATATACAGTACCAGTCAAACGTTTGGACACACGTACTCATTCAAGGGTTTTTCTGTATACAGACAGTCCATCATTACTTTAAGACATGAAGGTCAGTCAATCTGGAACATTTCAAGAACTTTGAACGTTTCTTCAAGTGTAGTCACAAAAACCATCAAGCACTATGATGAAACTGGCTCTCATGAGGACCACCACAGGAAATGAAGACCCAGAGTAACCACTGCTGCCGAGGAAAAATTCATTCGGGTTAACTGCACCTCAGATTGCAGCCCAAATAAATGCTTCACAGAGTTCAAGTAACAGACACATCTCAACATCAACTGTTCAGAGGAGACTGTGTGAATCAGGCCTTCATGGTCGATTTTTCTGCAAAGAAACCACTACTGAAAGGACACCAATAAGAAGAAGAGACTTGCTTGGGCCAAGAAACACAAGCAATGGACATTAGACCAGTGGAAATCTGTCATTTGGTCTGATGAGTCCAAATTTGAGATTTTTGGTTCCAACCGCCGTGTCTTTGTGAGACGCAGAGTAGGTGACCGGATGATCTCTGCATGTGTGGTTCCCACCGTGAAGCATGGAGGAGGAGGTGTGATGGTGCTTGTGACACTGTCAGTGATTTATTTAGAATTCAAGGCACACTTAACCAGCATGGCTACCACAGCATTCTGCAGTGATACGCCATCCCATCTGGTTTGCGCTTAGTGGGACTATCATTTGTTTTTCAACAGGACAATGACCCAACACACCTCCAGGCTGTGTAAGAGCTATTTTACCAAGAAGGAGAGTGATGGAGTGCTGCATCAGATGACCTGGCCTCCACAATCCCCCGACTTCAACCCAATTGAGATGGTTTGGGATGAGTTGGACAGCAGAGTGAAGGAAAAGCAGCCAACAAGTGCTCAGAATATGTGGGAACTCCTTCAAGACTGTTGGAAAAGCATTCCAGGTGAAGCTGGTTGAGAGAATTCCAAGAATTTGCAAAGCTGTCATCAAGGCAAACGGTGGCTATTTGAAGAATCTCAAATATAAAATATATTTTGATTTGTTTAACACTTTTTTGGTTACTACATGATTCCATATGTGTTATTTCATAGTTTTGATGTCTTCACTATTATTCTACAATGTAGAAAATAGTAAAAATAAAGAAAAACCCTTGAATGAGTAGGTGTGTCCAAACTTTGAATGGTACTTATATATATATATATATATATTACACTATTTGGACTTAGGCAACCTGAAAAAACACTTATGTGGCCCGCCCAAGGATTTAAATTGTAGTAAAATACCTGTATACAATGCTGCATATAATTACTGCAGATGTGAACTGAACTGTGTAGATAAATCTGATGCAATGCATTTGTTGTGGATGGTCCCTGGCAAATATACTAATCAAATCAATTAGGACATATTGCATTTGATGTTGACGTCTCACAATACTACAAGGTAACAGTCCAGCAAAACAACACAGATAAATTAGCAAGGAAACTCTTAATCCATTATTTTAGCATTACATTTTAGTCATTTAGCAGACGCTCTTATCCAGAGCGACTTACAGTTATTGAGTTTATACATTTTTCATAACCTGAAAAATGCCCCCCATGGGAATCGAACCCACAACCCTGGCATTGCAAACGCCATGCTCTACCAACTGAGCTACACGGGGCATTCATGACAAACGATCTGTCCAAATTGTCCAAATGCAATGCATATTTAGTGCACATCAATTTTAACAATCCATGTTTACTGCTGAAAGGGTATCTGCATTGATTGTTCTTTGTGTGCAATGCAGCTGATCTGCGGCAGTGACTTGATCGTGCCATTGACCACGTGTTGTTTACAACACATAAAAATGACCCCCAGTTCCTACTAACGATCGATAGGTGGCAGTGATGTAGCATCACAGAATGGGAGTCTATGGGCCAGTGGAGACAAAAGGGCAGTTTGGTGATGGAAAATATTATCAAATCAACAAGGGGATTGCCTGGTAAATATCCATGACATGCTTTTGGCAGTATAGAGCAGCTCTGGAGGCAGGGCACTAAATCTATCCTATAAAACAAGCGCTCTTTGTCCCTGATGGACTGACTTCTATTCCACAAACACATACTGGCAAAGGCTCTGTAGGGGGAAATGTTTTTGCAAATGCACGCTTTTCAAGCATATATGTGATGAATTCAGAACACTTGGAGATATGGAAAGTTCTGTGTTTAAAGGGCAAACATTCATAATCCAAGTGAAAATAGCATATACCTGGACATACAGCATGAAACATGAACAGCAATTGTGGTGTTCTTAACTGAGTGTGTATAAGTTAATTATCTATGGGAATTTCCCTTGAGATTATCCTATTGGATTCTACAGTCAGGGTTGCGTTCAAGAGCCTCAGGAGTCAGGGTTGCGGTCATTGTCATTTCTTTCATTGCTATACCAACACATTTCTTTCTAGGTGCATTTGTGTTACATCAGCTGAGGCGCTGGATGGCGGAGTTTGTGAATTTGAGACCATTCCTTTGGTCCCAAAGTGCAAACTCTACCCACCCGGTACACCAGGGTCGTTCAACCAATTCTGTGCCTTTTGAGATGTGTAACTTTGTGAAAAAAATGTTGATTTCACCCAATTTTAACATTCTGTCATAAAGAGCACATGTTCAACTCAATAAAAAACTAGTTTTCCCCATCTAAAGAGGTTAAATAAATAAAATACTAAAGTAAGTGCCTATTAAGTGCCAAATAAAGTAACAGGGTTGACCGTAACAGGGTTGACAATTTAAACTTAAATCATCCATAAATCTCCTTGTGACAGGGGAAATGGAAGCTTGTTGTGTGCAACAGGGAGGGGCAATTGAATGCACGCCCCCCCCAAAAAAAGAAATAGTTAAACCATTTCTAGCCTGTCTATCTATGGGTTACAGGGTTGACGTGTTATTCTCGACCCACTCAGTTTTCCTCCACAAAACACCAGAAATTGGCCAAAAAAGAGTAGAACCAGCTCACCTACTTTTACAATATGATTTGTCTATTATATGTTCAATGTTTCTTTTGAAAAAAATCTTGGTAGGCTTACTATATTAAAACGGGGGTTTAGTTCACGTAACAGGGTTAACCTTAAAATGAGGGACAGGTTTTTTTAACCTTTAAATTAGTCAATAATCACATTAAATAAATCTTCAGAAATGACTTTGTCAAAGCAACAAAATAACTAGGGCTTTACAATGATGGTGAAAACTTGGAGAAATGTTGGGGTTAAGGATTGGGATTAAAATCTTCCTGGAAGTCACAGAGAGTGCACTGAGGGACATGTCAAAAAGTTTTTATTCATAATTAAAAAATCAGATTTATTGAATTCTCCATGTGGTCTATATTAAAGGGCATTTCATTGAATAACAGGCTTTTCAAATTCAATATTGGTGCACAATTTCTACTTAAAATATCAAAGGGATGCAAAAGGCAGTCATTTCGTGGAACAACCCACCAGGCAAGGTAAAACGAATGCATCCTATCGTTTTAAATCAGAATGCAAGCCTACCTGTCTTGGTTGGGGGGTGGAGGTGGGTGTGGTCCAACGGCAGGAGGAGACAGAGACGGGTGGCGCCACCACCTGGACTGAAGCAGGAGCCTGCAGAGGTAAACAATATGGTCAATGGTTGCGATCAGGTGGGATCATTAAATGCAAAATACAAAACAAAAGGCTGTATAACCACTTGCAAAACAATACAGAGTTTTCAATAAGTGCTCATAGTTTTTCTTCCCAATTTTGTGATATCCAATTGGTAGTTACAGTCTTGTCCCATCACTGCAACTCCCGTATGGACTCGGGAGAGGCGAAGGTCGAGAGACATGCGTCCTCCGAAACAAAACCCTGCCAAGCCGCACTGCTTCTTGACACACTGCTCGCTTAACCAGCCGCATCAATGTATCGGAGGAAACACCGTACAACTGGCGACCGTGTCAGCGTGCATGCGCCCGGCCCGCCACAGCAGTCGCTAGAGCGCGACGGGACAAGGACATCCCGGCCGGCCAAACCCTCCCCTAACCCGGACGACGCTGGGCCAATTGTGCGTCGCCTAATGGGTCTCCCGGTCACGGCCGGGTGCGACACAGCCCGGGATCAAACCCGGATCTGTAGTGACACCTCAAGCACTGCAGTGCCTTAGACAGCAGCGCCACTCGGGAGGCCCTGCTTGTAATGTATTTCACTCAAGAAACATTTGTTTTCCACTTATTATGTCCAGAACAGAGAAAATGTAGACATTTATTAAGTACAGTAAACCACCATGTTCACAAAATGGTTATCTCCTACAGACGGTGGGCATCGAGGCATTCAGTTACTGTTCGATTGAACGTTAGAATGGGCAAAACCAGTGAAGTAAGCGACTTTGAGCATGGTATGATCGTTGGTGCCAGGTGCGCCGGTTCCAGTATCTCAGAAACGGCCGGCCTCCTGGGCTTTTCACGCACGACAGTGTCAAGGGTTTATCGAGAATGGTGCGCCAAACAAAAAACATCTGTCAAGAATCGTGCTAGCTAACAGGCGGTCCACAAACAGGCAAATAACGGTGCAATACAACAGTGGTGTGCAGAACGGCATCTTGGAACACACAACTTGTTGGTCCTTGTCACGGATGGGCTATTGCAGCAGATGACCACACCGGGTTCCACTCCTATCAGCTAAAAACAAGAAGAAGCGGCTCCAGTGGGCACACGATCACCAACACTGGACAACTGAGTGGAAAAACATTGCCTGTTGGGGAACCCTGTCCTAGTGCCTACCTGGTAGGAGTGCTCAGAGTGGACCTGCCCGAAGCACCCTGGGGTGGAGGGGGCAGACTGGCTGAGCTGGATGGGCTGGGGGCTCACTTCTGTGGGGGAGTCTCCTCCAGCTCCTGCTCCTACCCCTGGTTCCCCTGGTCCTACCCCAGAGGGAGAGGAGCTGGAGGGGAAGGCGCAGGCCAACCAGGGGGTGATGGTGCTAGTGGTAGGGATGGGGGGTTGGGTGGAGACCACAGGAGGTGGGGTGAGGGGCTGCAGCTCCCGCTGGTGGATCTCTGTGTAGTAGAAGTCCTCCTCGCTGTGGGAGCAACGCTCATGCTCACCACTCTGGCTGTGGGAGGGAAAACACATAGATATACAGTACATAGATTAATGCAACTGTTGTTTTTTTGTATTCTTCTGCCACTACCACTGCTAGTAGAAGCACTCCACATCATCTAATAATACAAGTATTTTATAAAGCTTTGTGGATACATAATTGGCAATGTTATTGTCATGGGCTTATCCCTACACACTTACCCCAGGTGCAGGGTACGGATGTGACGTTTAATCCCCACGACAGACGTCAGAATCTTCCCACAGTTGGGCCACAGACACCTGTAGGCCACCTTCACTGAGTTCTGGAGGGAGGAAACACAAGTTCACAGGTAAGCAATGTTGATGGAACTGACTCAACTTTAAATTAAGAACAAATAGCTGATTGCTGATGTGTTTTCCAGTCAATTCTGATCAATTTTAGCAAGGCTGTTTCTGTGACTACCCTACTCACCCTGCGTTTCCGTGGTGCAGGCTCGTCAAACAGCACCTGCTCCAGCTCCATTTCCAATCCCTCATCAGTGGGTGTGGCCAGGCTGTGACCTTCTGTCTCTGTGATTGGCGGAGATGGGGCCGGGCTTCTGTAGCCACGGTCACAGCTCCAGTAGCCACTGCTGCCGCTGTCTGAGAGTTCCCCGCCTCCGCACTCCATACCTGTAGAGCCTGCTGTACACACACACATACACATATTTGATTAGAACTTCAATGATTGACAAAAAATGGACAGGAAAAATATAACTAAGAGCTTATCAATCAATTATTTACCTATGACTGTGTCTCTCTGAGGTGGGCTCTGAACAAGAGGGCTGCAGGACAGGCTGGTCAGAACCAGGGCTGCCATCATCTCATCCATATCCAGTGACTCTGGACTCCTGTAGCAGGAGCAGGGAGAAAGGGGAGAGAGATTAGGTCAATTTACACTGAGAGAAAGAGAGCAAAAGAGAGAGCGAGAAGAAGAGGAAGAGACAGGAGCATGCATACCCTGCCCCTCATTAATTCACACACATGCCCAACCTAACACACACTACAATACACTACCCTTACCTCCCCACACTACAACACACTACCCTTACCTCACACACTACATTACATTACCGTTACCTCCCCACACTACATTACATTACACTACCCTTACCTCCCCACACTACAATACACTACCCTTACCTCACACACTACATTACATTACCGTTACCTCCCCACACTACATACATTACACTACCCTTACCTCCATACACTACATTACACTACCCTTACTTCCACACACTACATTACACTACCGTTACCTCCCCACACTACATTACACTACCCTTACCTCCATACACTACATTACACTACCCTTACCTCCCCACACTACATACATTACACTACCGTTACCTCCCCACACTACATTAAAACTACCCAAAACCCACCACACTACATACACTACCCTTACCGTTCCCCACACTACATTACACTACCCTACCCCACACACTAACATTAAAACACCCTTACTTCCACACACTACATTACACTACCCCTTACCTCACACACTACATTACACTACCCTTACCTCCATACACTACATTACACTACCCTTACCTGACACACTACATTACACTACCCTTACCTCCCCACACTACATTACACAACCGTTACCTCCCCACACTACATTACACTACCCTTACTGACACAAAGACATTACACTACCGGACCCCCACACACATTACACTACCCGTACCTCCTACACTACATACACTACCCTTACCTCCACACACATACCCACACTACACCGACCTACCCCACACTACATTACACTACCCTTACCTCACAACTACTTACAACGAAACCTTACCTGACACACAGTACACGGAACCAATTACCTCCCCAACTACATTAACACTACCGGACCCAACACTACAGTACACACTACCCTGTACCTCCACACACACATACACTACCCTACCCACACAACACATACACTACCCGAACCGCCCACACACATGACACGACCGTACCGACCACAACAGACACGACCGACCCAGACACACAACACACGTACTCAAATATACCCTAGCCACAGCACATAGACACTACCGGAGCCTCCCCACAACAACAAACACGACAGTACAACGAAGGACCTACCATCCACACAGACACACACTTAACGCCACACACAAGTACACACCGACCACTCCCCACACTACAGTTACACACCCTTGACCTACCACACGACATTACACACCGTACACTCCCAACTACATGTCACACGACCTTATACCACACTACATACACTACCCTACCTCCCCACACTACATACACTACCCTTACCTCCCCACTACATACAGACCCTTACCTCCCCACACTACATTACACTACCCTTACCTCCCCACACTACATTACACTACCCTTACCTCCCCACACTACATTACACTACCCTTACCTCACACACTACATTACACTACCCTTACTCCCCACACACTACATTACACTACCCTTACCTCCCCACACTACATTACACTACCCTTACCTCCACACACTACATAATCCTACCCTTACCTCCTGGGCACATTGGGCACATCGATGCAGGAGGACACTTGGTGTGGTCTGCCTGTGCTCTGTGTTGCAGTAGGAGGTTGAGGAGGGACAGCGGGGGAGGTCCAGACGTCCTGTAGTTTCCTCAGGACATGCTGTCCCAGAGCAGGCAGTAGGATAGCCACCTCATTATCCACATGGTTGTGTTGCTCCACCACCCCAGTGCACTCACGCCCTCCACACAACACATACACCTGAGGTGGGAGGGAGGGGTTAGAGACAGTGACGTGTTAAATCGGGGAGGGAGAGGGAGGGAGGGAGCAAGAGAGAGAGCGAGAGAGAGAGGCAGAGCGAGAGACAGACAGAGAGAGAGTGATAGAGACGTACAACGACAAGTCAAAAACAACAAGTCAGAGTTAGTGTTAAGCTAGGGGGAGAGTGGTGCGAAAGGCATAGCAAGACAGAGAAAGAAAAAGAGAAAGACCGATATAAAAGCAAGAGAGAGAGCGATGCCTTGAGGTACTCGTGCCAATGTGGCCATCAAACAGCACAGTGGACAAAGGCAGAGTGACAGAATGACAGTGGACTGCTGCCCAGCCTGTTCACCTGAGGGAGGAGTGACATACTGTAGATGAGAAAAGATGGGATAGAGGCCAAGAGATACAGATGTACATCAACACTGAAAACGAGGGAAAGATAATGGGAAAGATAATGACAGCCAGACAGATTGGCTGTTTTTCTCTCAAGCAGAAAACAGAAGGCTGAGACCATATGGGGTATAGATACAGATATTGGATCTTAATTTGATCACCCTGTTGCAGGAAATTGAAAACGTGTAGTGTATTTGAGGTTTTGGCTTCAGAATGTTGTAATTTCCACTTTGAAATTTCAGACATGATTTTCCCTTACGAAAAATGTATCAACCCCTACAAAAATGTCCATTCATTATAATAATTTATTGTTGCTGCAGGATTCTTAAATTGGCTCAAATTAAGATCCTACATCTGTAGTAGTTATGAAATGTTACATAAGAACAGTGCATTCCACTTTTTCTCCCTCCCTCTGTTCTCTCACCTACCCTCAGTCGTTTTAGCCCGTTCTCTCCTCTACCGTCATCACTCTCCCCCTCTCTCTCCCTCCCCCTTCTCTACCCACCCCTCCCTGTCTCCCCTCTCCCTCACCTTCTGTCCAGGGTGTAGTTTGTAGTTGAACCTGCTGAGATGCTGGGGCCCTGGTGGTCCCATGGTTGGGCTCCCCACGCCCCCCTCAGGTTCCCCGTGGCCCCCTGTCTCCAGTGTGCTCTCCATGGAGGGGCAGGAGGTACACACCAATGCCCCTAGGGGGGAACGCTTCCCCAGACGAGTCTTGGGTAACATGGTTGGGAGTAACACTTTTGTCTGTAGACTCTGTAGATCTATTGAGGTTTGGTTCTCTGGGAAAATGGCAAAGACTGGTCGTAGAATAGGACGGAGTGAGAGAGAGGAACAGCTGAAAGAGAAGAAACAAGATTGGAGAAACATCTTCTGCGATACTTCTGCGATACTTCTGCGATACGAATTGAATCCAGCCCTTAGAAATTGACCATCTGCTTTCAATACATTATATAACAAAGAAAATCATTGTGCTCCATTTGCTATTGTATTTCACGCTTCAAAGCCCTATAGAGTTGCCTTCATTGACATAGTCATATCTGTCCAGATGCATGTGTTGATGCCATGAACCTTGATGGATTGATTAAATGTGCGGGGAAGGCATTCTTGGTAGCTAATAACATCACTGTTTTTCGTCAGAACTTGAATGAACACCCGTCTCAGACCACAATCTACCGCCATCCCACCTCCTCCCCTTAAACGCTCTGGGTTGAAATTGCTCCTGATCATGGATAAGATTATCATATCCCCCAACCCTATCCTTGACCATTAGAGGGATAAAAACACATTTGACCCAAAATCAGTGGGTGGAGGCGACCCCTTTTTTTTCACCGCCCACTAACTATATACTGTATGTGTGGTGGCTTGGGATTAGCTGGCTCAAGCAAACAGAGCTACAACTAGTGTTGCACGGTATAGTGAAACCTCTGTACTTTTTCAATACTAGAACATGAAAAACTGTTTGGTACTAGAATTATTTTTACTTGCGGTATTTCTGTTAAATGTGTCTCATGGATCAAGCTTGTCTATATCAGCGCAGCTTCACTTACTCATTGCTAGCCTGCACTGGGAGTCTGGGCTGCATCGTGTTAGCACCCCACTCATGCTGAACAGAAGTTAACAGTCTTGAATAATGGAGAAGGGTGCAATTCGGGGCGTTTCTGCATGTGGTCATTCTCGCATCTGCAGGAACCCCTCTTGATACTTCTATTGTTACATTTTTAAGCTAGGACAGGTGGGAGATGGGGACGATCCAGTACAGTAGGTATCATGAGGGACATACTCTTTTCACGCCACTTCGATACAAAGTCATTTTTGCTAACCCTAAACCCTTTCCTAACCTTAACCTCAGTCTCCTAACCTGCTACGTTAATTCTCCTAACCTGCTGCGTAAGTTCTCCTAACCTGCTACAAAAAAGTAACTTCAGTATCGAAGTGGCGTTGGATGCCAACCACCGATAACCCCACAGAAGAAGAAGAGCACTGTCGGGCACTGTTGAGGGCGAGGGCAGGTGTTCGGAAGGCAGGAGCGAAGGACACTGTGTGTTAGCTAGCTAGTCCTACGGGTGACTCTGGTACACTGCAGGTGGGAGGCGACTAGCAAGCTAGCTAGTCGCTAACTCGCAAGATGTCACCCCCGTCTCCCGCCTGCTGTGTACCGGAGTAGGTAATGGGAACCGGTAAACAGTGGGTGTGTTCGAACAGTAAGCCTAATGCAGCCGACTGTAGACAAAAGTTGGCGAGTGAAGTCGGGGGGGGGGGGTGTAGTGGTTTTCCAACAGCAAGGCTCAGATCAACTCAACATGGAAGTGTCAACATAGCTGCTATTGTTTATAAAAGTTTTTCTTTATAAATGTAGAAATAAACTTCTCTATACCCCCCATACTCACAAAATGAAAACATAGTGTGTGTGTGTACAATTAATTGGATAGAGAGGGCTCAAATATCACTTTCATTTATAGCCTATCCCCTGTAGCTTTAGAATCGTGGCAAAGTTAGTTCCTGTTTCAGTCATGTCTTTGACCACGTTCGTGTGGGTCAAACAAAAACACCCTAATGATTGGTTGTTAAATACTGCCTCCCACAATGCAGGGGATGGCTGCATGGTGCAGTTGGTGAGAAGCAACTGCAGTGACTTGAAGGCGACTTCATAAAAAACTGCATGACCTTTGATCACATGATTTTTGTAAAGTTCATGCAGTCGACATGTAGTCACAAGTCGTAAAAAAAAAATTATACCCATAATGCAACACACTTTGAAAGGCGGTGACCAACGTTGGTCAACGTCTTGACAAAAGTGATCTGCTTGAATGCGCCCAGTGTTCTTCGCACCTGCCTTGTCGGGCACTGTTTTCCCGCAGTTCTGTTAACGACGATGGGGGCAGTTGTTCGGCAGGTGGGAACAAAGGACTGTGTGCTAGCTAGTTCTAGGAGGACTCCGGTACACAGCATGAGGGAGGCGGGGGCAACACTGTGTGCTAGCTAACTAGCAAGCTAGCTAGCACACGGTGTCACTAACTAGCAAGCTAGCTAGTACATGGTGTCGCCCCCGCCTCCCGCCTGCTGTGCACCAGAGTAGCTAGCGGGAGGTGTGGTCGACCGGTAGACAATGTCCTTCGCCCCCGCTTGTCGGGCACTGTTTTCCCGCTGTTCTGTTAACGATGGTGAGGGAAGGTGTTCGGTAGGCGAGAGCGAAGGACAATGTTGAATGTGAAGAACACATTCCAAAGAGTCACACAAGCATGAAGATGTCGTGCTCGAGGGGGGGGCCTTCATGCAGGAACCAATGGGATGCTCGAGCGGGGGGCCTTTATGAAAGAACCGATGGGATGCTCGTGGGAGGGCGTTCCTGCAGATGCAGGAAGGCCCACATGCAGGAACGCCCCGAATTGCAGACTATTAGAATAATGCGACGCAGCATGTAGAAATGTTTGCAAAAAAACAATGTCCATACAGGCTAGAACACTTTACAGTGACCACGTTTACATGCACATCAGTATCCCATTTTTATTCGGTATACTCAAGTACTCTGTTTTATAAACATCATATCCCATTTACAATAACCCGAAAAAGCTTGTGTCCCGGTTATGAGAAACCCGGATAAGATGCCTGGGATATGCTGATCTAAGACGGGATACTGTGGCATGTAAACATCTTATCCCGTTTACTGTTGTTTTTGCGGTCTGCGCAGGCTCTGTTTTGCATATCATGGGTGTTGTGTGATTATGTTTTCATCTGATTGTCAAACAAATCACTTCAAAAATAAGGCTATCTGTGCAGTTCCATCCACCATAATAATTTAGCCTACTATAATAAATGTACTATAAATTAAATTAAGTTTCTGCTTATAATTTCCGACATTTGGTATGCCATTTTTTTGTCAACTGTATTTTGATACATGCAGCTTCTCTTCTGTCATAACTTGTTGCCCCAGAAGACTAAATAAAGTAGTGCTCATCAGAATAATGTCTTACATCGATAGAATGAATGCATTAGTAATCTAGTTAACACAGGTAAAGTTGTCTGTTTCGTTTAGGGACCGGGGAGAAAAAGCAATAACTCAAAAACAGTGGAAAACGGAAATTAGGAAATGAAAAGCTGAGTAAAGGACGAATCACATTTCTGATAAGACTTCAGTTCATCTTGGGTGCATATTTTATGTGGTTCAAATACTGTCTGCTTGCAAAGATAACACATTACACGTGCATTCGCATTTTCTCAAGCGATGCTGAAAGAAATAAATCATATTTCTCCACTCCTATTCCCGAGACAAAATTAACATTTGTTGTATAATTTCACTGCAAGAAATACATAATTCTGCAGGAGTTAATATTATATTCCGCTACATGAGAGAGGTTATAGGCCTACAGTCAGTTTCCATATTTGAGTTACTATTTCATTTAACCCATTTTAACTTAAATTAGGAATATTCTGTTTATTCATGGATACTGGGAAACTCATGAGCGGGATATCAAGGTACATGTAAACAGCTTTTCCCGAATAAAATGTTAAGAGTGATATGAGCTACTATCTGGAATACTGTGTCCTTGCTAGCTTACAGCTAAAGCTAACATCAATCCACTACCCAAGTACTTTGTTTGTGAATCACATAACTATACAAAAGTGATACACTTCTTAAAAATAGTCTTTGATAGGCTGAAATATTTTTTAAGTACTTTTCTCAGTACTTAAACATTTTGCAAACCATAACGCAAAATATGTTGATTTCAAAGCTGATTGCCACCAAAAGCATTAGTCATTCACTTACAATGGGGGAAAAAGGTTTTTAGTCAGCCACCAATTGTGCAAGTTCTCCCACTTAAAAAGATGAGAGAGGCCTGTAATTTTCATCATAGGTACACGTCAACTATGACAGACAAATTGAGGAAAACAAATCCAGAAAATCACATTGTAGGATTTTAAATGAATTTATTTGCAAATTATGGTGGAAAATAAGTATTTGGTCACCTACAAACAAGCAAGATTTCTGGCTCTCACAGACCTGTAACTTCTTCTTTAAGAGGCTCCTCTGTCCTCCACTCCTTACCTGTATTAATGGCACCTGTTTGAACTTGTTATCAGTATAAAAGACACCTGTCCACAACCTCAAACAGTCACACTCCAAACTCCACTATGGCCAAGACCAAAGAGCTGTCAAAGGACACCAGAAACAAAATTGTAGACCTGCACCAGGCTGGGAAGACTGAATCTGCAATAGGTAAGCAGCTTGGTTTGAAGATATCAACTGTGGGAGCAATTATTAGGAAATGGAAGACATACAAGACCACTGATAATCTCCCTCGATCTGGGGCTCCACGCAAGATCTCACCCCGTGGGGTCAAAATGATCACAAGAACGGTGAGCAAAAATCCCAGAACCACACGGGGGGACCTAGTGAATGACCTGCAGAGAGCTGGGACCAAAGTAACAAAGCCTACCATCAGTAACACATTACGCCGCCAGGGACTCAAATCCTGCAGTGCCAGACGTGTCCCCCTGCTTAAGCCAGTACATGTCCAGGCCCGTCTGAAGTTTGCTAGAGTGCATTTGGATGATCCAGAAGAGGATTGGGAGAATGTCATATGGTCAGATGAAACCAAAATATAACTTTTTGGTAAAAACTCAACTCGTCGTGTTTGGAGGACAAAGAATGCTGAGTTGCATCCAAAGAACACCATACCTACTGTGAAGCATGGGGGTGGAAACATCATGCTTTGGGGCTGTTT